ACAGTAGATTTTGTTTTGACCTTCTCTCATGTCCGGAGCTCGTCCAGGATTCGAGCTCAGCGTCCGCGAGGTGAGAGTCACCGCCAAACGTAAACGCCGAAGTCTGAAAACAAGAAACAGAACAGATAAGACGCTGTCGTTACACTCTGTAAGAACTTATTTTAATTTAAAGCTGCATTGTGTAACTTTTCTGGTGGAGGGTTCGTCAAACACTTTTCTCCATGGAGATGTTAGTGTTAGTGTTGCCCTTTACCTAAACTTCTCCTTTTTTACATTTTGTTTGTCCTTAATTATGTGAATCCTCAGTAAAGAGTTTTAAACTGAACTCGGACGAGGATCTCTGTGGATTTAAATAAATAATCGTGATGATGATTTTTTTTTTTTTTCCATAATCGAGCAGCTCTAGTATGAATTGTGCTGTACAAATAAAGTTTCTTTCCTCCAACGAGCAGACACACCTTCATTTATTTAGACTGAGGCTCACACCCAGAATGTCACAGAAACACCTCCAAAACAAAACCAAACAAAACCAACTGTGGAACAAACTCTGTGCAAAAGTTTGGTTTTAAAGATGTTTTATGATTTTAGTGCAGCTGTTGTGACATTTAAAGTCAATAAAAGACTAATGACAGTAAATAAAGTAAAGAATCACTGGTAAACAGTGTTGGGAAGGTCACTTTTAAAATGTAATCCCCTACAGATTACAGATTACATACCCCAGAATGTAGTTTGTAACAGAATCCATTAAATTACTTAAAGTGAGTAATGTAATCTGAATACTTTGGATTACTTGACTTGCTGTAGAGAAGCAAAGACGAGGAAATCTTCACATAAGAAGTTTTGTCTGATAAAAGAAAATAAAAAGCCCAGTCCAATTAGTCCTGTTTTAGTCCTGGTTTAGTCCTGTTAAATCCTGTTTTAGACCTGGTTTAGACCTGGTTTAGATCTAGTTTAGGTCTAGTTTAGGCCTGGTTTTAGTCCTGGTTTATTCCTGGTTTAGTCCTGTTTTAGACCTGGTTTACATCTAGTTTAGGTCTAGTTTAGTCCTGGTGTAGTCCTGGTTTAGACCTGTTTTTGAATTATCAAAAAAAAAAAAAAAAAAGCGGGGGGATAAAGCCCAAAATGTGAAAACAGGAAAATCCCGCCGTGTAATCCATTTATCACTGAAACAGTAACTGTAACTGAATACAGTTACTCATCATTTGTACTCCGATTACTCCGGTACTTGTAATCTGTTACTCCTGACACTGTTGGTAAATCAGATGAACTTGGGTTTGAAATAATCACGTTACAAATCGAGGCTAGTTGTGTTAGCACAGTCACATAACACATCTATCCGCTCTTAAAGGGGATATTTCCAGGTGTTGTGGCCGTTATAAAAGCACTAACCTGGGGGCAAACATGTTGTAGGGCGGTGGGGCCGAGGTGCGGGCGGAGGACGGAGCTGCGGGCGGAGGACGGAGCTGCGGGCGGAGGACGGAGCTGCGGCGGGAGGAGAAGCTCAAAGTGACAGAACAGAGCGAAGATTCTCCTGGAACTTCAGCTGCAAAATCTGACCCTGCTCCCTATTTCCGTGTTGACACTACGCCCCGCCCACCAGGTGACGTTCTGGGTTGTGATTGGTCCAGAGTTTCACGAGCGTCCTAAACTGTCTCTAAAATGTCAAATAAAATAAAATAAAAATAATAAATAAATAAAATATAAATACATAAAATAAAAATAAATAAATACAAATATTTTTTGTGATGTATTTAAATATTTAAATGTATTTATTAATTTATTTTGAAAATTTTATTTATTTATTTATTTATTTTTTGCACAGCACTAATGTTTTTTACTGTTTTTCAAATTTTTTAAAAATGTATTCATAAGGTTTAATATAAGCCTTTTGGGGTTTTTTGCCTCTTCTGGCACCTACTTTTTCTTCTTTTCTAGTGTATTTTTTATTATTATGTTATATGTGCAAAATAAATAAATATAATATAAATATATACATATAAATATTAATAAAATATTAATAAAAAAATAAAATATTAATAAAAATAATGACCTGCCTCAAATAATAAATATGCCTAAATACAGCACATAACAATTCTCATTTCCTCCTCGGAGTTCCGGTGTTGAATTTCTGTATGATTTCTCTCTGTATTTATTGCTCCAGTTGATATGTGTATTTCTTCAATTAAAAGAGCCATTGTAATAATATTTTCACCTCATTCTCTCAAACAACATTTAAATAAAGTGACACTAAAACTACCTACAGAGCATGTGCACTTAAATTAGGCTTTTTTAATCATCATTATTTTTGCAGATGTAATGAAATGAACGCTTTGCTCTTCTTAAATAAAATAAAATGAAAAAAAAAAAAAAAACATATATAAATAAAAATTGAATTTAAAAATTCAGTTAAATTCAATTAAATTAAAAAACAAAATAATAAAATAAAATTAATTAATTAAATAAATTTTAAAATAAAATAAAGTGCATTTGGTCGCCTACAGTGTGTGCTGCTCCGTTGGGGACAGCAGGGGGCGCACTACACTTAAAGATCACTGTCTGCCTTCCATCAGCGCTCATGCGAGGACAGTTTCCATGGCAATGCTGTTCCTTTGGCTTTAATCTCCCACAGACATGTTATGAAATATATTTATTTCCATAGACAATGTTTGGTTTTAACTTTCTATTTCCAGGAGATTTTCACCTTCAGAAAGTTACACACTGGAACCTACCTACCTGGAAAAGGCCCGTATTTTTGTATTTATGTCACAAACAGACCTGGAGTTGTGTTTTGTTTCATTCACAGATGTTTAACACACAAACCCTGCAGCTCTTCTCTTAAACTAAAACCACTGTGTTTGATTTCCATGCTCCACTGTGTTTTTAAACTCCACACAGCTTCACTAGAATCATTTGGATATGATATATAGAGTAAATATAATACAGTACAGTAAAGTGTATTTCTCTTGTTGACATGTTTCAGCTGCAGCTTCTTCAGAACTGTCACCGCAGGAAAAACATGTCAGCAAAATAAATAATAAATACACTTTACTGTACTGTCTTTAAAAAGAACAAAAGAAGTTAAAGTACATAAGAAGACAAAATGAACATCTTTGGTTTGGTAAAAGGAGCTGTTCACTTGAAAATTACCACGTCGTGACATCACAAGGTGGAACAGACTAATAATAAAGAGTTGAATAATAAACTTGTGTGAATGAAACAAAACTCCAGCTGTGTTTGTGAGGAGGAGCAACATTATTCTAACATGACTTAAAGCTCAGAGTCGGTGTTGCGTAATACGAGGTCATGAAGTTCACATTTGGCAGCTGCTCTACTTCTTCTTGTATTTGAATGTATGTTTGCATTTTAGCTCTACTTTTACTCGAGTACAAATGTGCAGTATCTTTCAGCACATGTAGGTTGTGTTGTGAGTCCGTCTCCTGCTGAGTGACTCCTGCCTTTGTTTCCATGACACTGAGTTCCTCCACACGAGCTCTACATTTAACCCTGAACTCCTCACAGAGTTAGATTATGTTCATGACGAGGCGAGGACTAAACCAGGACTAAACCAGGACTAAACCAGGACTAAACCAAGACTAAACCAGGGACTAAACCAGGACTAAACCAGGACTAAACCAGGACTAAACCAAGACTAAACTCAGGACTAAACTAAACAGGACTAAACAGGTAAACCAGGACTAAACGACTAAACCAGGACTAAACCAGGAAACCAGGACTAAACCAAGACTAAACCAGGACTAAACCAGGACTAAACCAGGACTAAACCAGGACTAAACCAAGACTAAACCAGGACTAAACCAGGACTAAACAAGACTAAACCTAAACCAGGACTAAACCAGGACTAAACCAAGACTAAACCAGGACTAAACCAGGACTAAACCAGGACTAACCAGGACTAAACCAGGACTAAACCAAGACTAAGGACTAAAACAGGACTAAACCAGGACTAAACCAAGACTAAACAGACTAAAGGACTAAACCAGGACTAAACAAGACTAAACCAGGACTAAACCAGGACTAAACCAGGACTAAACCAAGACTAAACCAAGACTAAACCAGGACTAAACCTAAAAGGACTAAACCAGGACTAACCAGGACTAAACCAGGACTAAACCAAGAGACTAAACCAGGACTAAACCAGACTAAACCAGGACTAAACCAGACTAAACAAGACTAAACCAGGACTAAACCAGGAAACAGGTAAACAAGACTAAACCAGGAAACCAGGACTAAACCAGGACTAAACCAGGACTAAACCAGGACTAAACCAGGACTAAACCAGACTAAACTAAACAGGACTAAACCAGGACTAAACCAGGACTAAACCAAGACTAAACCAAGACTAAACCAAGGACTAAACCAGGACTAAACAGGACTAAACAGGACTAAAACAAAACCAGACTAACCAGGACTAAACCAAGACTAAACCAAGACTAAACCAGGACTAAACCAGGACTAAACCAGGACTAAACCAGGACTAAACCAGGTTTAAACAGGACTAAACCAGGACTAAATCAGGACTGAACCAGGACTAAACCAGGTCTAAACCAGGTCTAAAATCAGGACTAAAGCAAGACTAAACTAGGACTGAACCAGGTCTAAAAACAGGACTAAAGCAGGTCTAAGCCAGGACTAAAACCAGGATTAAAACCAGGACTAACCCAGATTTAAACCAGGTCTAAACCAGGATTAAAACCAGGTCTAAACCAATATAACACTAACAGTAGGATGCACATAGTTTAAGGCAGCAGTGATCTTATATAGAAATAATTTCTCTATCAATAATATTTTTAATATGTTTAAGGAAAAACTGGGTTTTAATTTTCTTTTAGCAAACAAAACGTCTCATGTTCAGATCCTGGTCTTTGTTTCTCTACAGAAAACATAAACCTGTTCATGGAGACTTGAGCTCAACAGACAATTTGACAAGAACAAACATGAACTTTCAGGATGTGGTTGGTACATTCATGTAGTTTTAAAAAACATGACAATATCAAGTAATCCAAAATATTCAGATTACATTACTCACTTTAAGTAACCAAAAATATAGAAATAAAGCTGCAAAAATTCACCTTTAAAAAAAAAAAAAGTATTATTTTTTTTAAATTTCAAATATACAATGGTATAAAGAAAAACATTGCTGGAGGATTAAGAGTTCATTTGCTCACAGGTCTCAATCAGCGCAACATTAATAACACATAAACGCATCACAGTGAAAACATACTGATATACATGTACAAATGTAGAAAAGTAAATCAATACATTCATATTTCATATTTCAAATTCCGTACAAAGTGCTTTTGTCTTCAAGGCTTTGGGATTTGTGCAATAATTTAGAGAATTTATATAAGAGGACAAGAGGGACTGAAACACGACAAATTTGGGTTTCTGATTAGAAAATTTACAGCAATGAATATGAAACTTGGATAAAATTAGGATTAAGTTCAGCACATATACTTTTTTAGCAGGAATATTTTTCTCAAAGACACAAAAAAATTCACCTTCTTCTCGAGAAAAACAAAAACAAAGCGTCAAGTGAGTGTCTGAGCGCTGATTGGTCGAGGGGGCGACGCCGAGGCCCGTGCCGACCAATGGGAGTGTAGCGCGTGCAGGGGTATATAAACGTGGTCCGGCGGCTCGGGGGGCAGTTAGAGGAGAGGAGCCGCGCGGGCTTAGAGCTGCCGTATGCGCTTGTGTGGACCTAGGCGACCCGACCAGAGGCTGATTGTGGGGGGAAAGCCACTCTCAAGCGAATGAAGAAACATCTAATCTTCCACTTCACGTACAGAGGACTTCTCACGAAAGGAAAAAAAAGCAAGAGGAGAAAATGGAGTATAAATTGCGAAAAGCTGAACCCAAGGACGTGCCCGATATCTTACGACTGGTGAAGGTGGGTGCGAGGCCGAGCTCATCCGCCACGTAGTCGGATTAAAACGGGATAATACGCACAGAATAACCGTGCCAACCCGTAAATACGACGCGTTTGTTTCGATTTTACACGCAAACCCTGAAAACATCCTCGAATTGCGCGTAAATTTAGCGTTTTTTCGCGTTTTGCAGCAGTCTCAACGAACGAAACGGTTCCGGGGTTCTGGCCTCAGACTGCGGTTCGAACGAGCTTTTGTCTCCATTTCCTCTTTATTAAACCGATAAAAACACGTGCTTTTATCAGTTTTAGTCCGGTTTCACTCGTGGTTTAAAACAATACAATAATAATCCACGTACAGTCTAAGATTTAAGACTAAAAACAAAAGATATTTCAAATTAATTATCATGTTATTTCAGATTATTACAGGTTTTAGTTCAGTTCTTGTTTATGTCCTGGGTTTATAAGTATTAATAACAGTTTTGGAGTTGTGTAAATATGTTCTAGTTCGATAAAGCTGCATTGCAAAACATCGTAAATCGTGACTGATAAATATAACAGTTTGTACAATAAAAGGTAGTTAAACTTTATTATCAGGCACATATCAGGTAATTACAGAGTCTGGTTTGGTTTATTGGGTTTCGTCTCGGGGTTTTTATGACTGGATCAGACCTGTTCTGCGTCTGTAAAACCGGATTTAGGCCAAACAAGTTCGTGGTTTAGTCTTTTAGTTTGTTTTTTTTCTTCTTCTTTCTTTTTTTTTAAATTATTTTATTCTTGCTCTTTGCGTCAAAACAAAAGCGGGTCACGTCGCAGGTCGAAACTTGAAGCCGGTGAAACTTGATCTTAAAGAGTCAAGTGGAAAATTCCGGGTCTTTTGTTTACATCCAAGAGACGACCTACTTCCGCCTCACGGCCCCCGAACCAAACAAGGGCATACATCCGGGAAACTGCGAGGACGATTACGGGCTTTCAGTCACTTCCGGATTACGTATAGATATTAAAATAAATAAAATAAAATAAAAATCTGTTCAAATAAAGAATTGGAGATTTGTTGAGTCCGAGCGACGAGTTGGTTTAGTCCTGGTTTAGTTCCTGGTCTAGTCCTGCTTTAGTCCTGGTCTAGTCCTGATCTAGTCCTGGTCTAGTTCTTGGTCTAGTTCCTGGTTTAGTTCCTGGTCTAGTCCTGGTTTAGTTCTTGGTCTAGTCCTGGTTTAGTTCTTGGTCTAGTCCTGGTTTAGTTCCTGGTCTAGTCCTGGTTTAGTTCTTGGTCTAGTCCTGGTTTAATTTCTGGTTTAGTTTCTGGTCTAGTCTGGTCTAGTCTGGTTTAGTTTCTGGTCTAGTCCTGGTTTAGTTCCTGGTCTAGTCCTGGTTTGGTTTCTGGTCTAGTCCTGGTCTAGGCCCGGTCTAGGTCCTGATTTAGTCCTGGTTTAACCCTGGTCTAGGCTTTATTTCAGTCTGTCTGTCGGTCTGGTCTTGGATCAGTTCCAGGTCTGGTCTCAATATTGATGCTCTATATTTGGAAATGTGAATGTGCCCTCATCTGATCCAGCCTGGTCCTGGTCTGGTCCTGGTCCAGTCCTGGTCCAGTCCTGGTCTAGTTCTCCTCTAGTCCTGCTCTAGTCTTGTTCTAGTCTAGTTCCTGGTCTAGTCCCTGGTTTAGTTCTTGGTCTAGTCCTGGTTCAGACCCAGTCCAGGTCTTGTGTTGTTGTGTAGATTTGCTGATGTTTGGGCCACAGTCTGTGTTTAGTTTTTGTTTTTGTGTTTATTTGTTCGTGTCTGAGTCGCTCCGAGTGTCGTCGTCGTTTAATCTCTTGAGCAGATTAGACCGTGACCTTTGACCCGGTTTGTCAGACAGTTTGGTCACGTGACCCCGTGACCTCGTGGCCCCGTGTCTGTGGGTTCAGCGTGTGCCGTGGTCCGACCTTAGACCTGGTTTAGATCTGCTCTGCTCTTTCGTTGACACTTGTTTGGACTTTTGAACTTGAACTATTTTCTCTTTATCTTCCCTCGTAAAGACTCACAAACATCACCTTTCCCGCTCAACATTCTGCCATAAACATGCACGTAGAGCCCCCCCCCCCCGGCGCGGCGCGGCTCCTGCAGAGACTCAGTTTCACCAACAAACGATTCTTTTGTCTTTTTCAGGAACTTGCCAAATATGAAGAAATGGAAAACCAGGTGACGCTCACAGAGCAAGGTGAGAACAACAACAACCGACCGACCAAACTGACCGACCGACCGACCGACCAACTGACCGACCGACCGACCAACCAACCGCTGTGGAGCAGGGACCTGGACCTGGACTAGACCAGGTCCAGTCCAGGTCTAGTCCAGGTTCAGTCCAGGTTCAGGTCTGGTGTTAGTTCTGGTGTCGGTCTAACATGTGTGTTGTGTGTGTGTTGTTGTGTGTGTTGTGTTGTGTGTGTGTGTGTTGTTGTGTGTGTGTGTGTGTGTGTGTGTGTGTGTGTGTGTGTGTGTGTGTTGTGTGTGTGTGTGTGTGTGTGTGTGTGTGTGTTGTGTGTGTGTGTGTGTGTGTGTGTGTGTGTGTGTGTGTGTGTGTTGTGTGTCAGATCTCCTGGAGGACGGTTTCGGGGACACTCCGTTCTATCACTGCGTCATCGCCGAGCTGCAGCCGCCGACAACAGACGGTAAAAACGCAACACAACACAACAACACACAACAACAACACAACCACACACAACAACCACACACACAAAAAACAACACACAACAACACAACAACACAACAACAACACACAACACAACACACAACAACACAACAACACAACACAACACAACAACAAAACAACAAACACACAACAACACACAACAACAACACAATAACACAACAACACACAACAACAACAACAACACAACAACAACACACACAACACACAAACAACACACAACAACACAACAACAACAACAACAACAACACAATAACACAACAACACACAACAACAACATAACAACAACAACACAGCAACAACAACATAACACCACAGAACAACAAAACAACAACAACGTAACACAACATAACAACACAACAACAACAACAACAACAACAAACAACAACAAAACACAACAACACAACAACAACACACAACAACACAACAACACAACAAACAACAACAACAACACACATAACAACAACAACAACACACAACAACAATTAAAATAACAAAACAAATGAACACACTTAACATAACAACAACAACATAAACAAACAACAACAACAACACAACAAACACAACAACACACAACAACATAACCACAACAACACACAACAACAACACAACAACACACACAACAACACAACAACAACAACAACAACACACAACGTCAGACTGGAGGCAGTAAAAACACAGTGTGGGTGTTTCAGGGACAACAGGTTTTTCTGACGCTCAAACTCTTCATGTTCTGACACGACCTCAGTTCAGTTTAAAGAGAAAAAAACAAGAAGAAGAAGAAGAAGAAGAAGAGGATCAATCAGAGTCAGTGAGTGCGTCACATGCACATTAGTGTCCTGGTTATTCTCCATATCCCGGTTCTGTCAGTGTTCGTGTTACTGTGTTTACATGAGCTCTGAGAAACCTGGACACTCATATCCGCGTGTACATGATCAAATGGAGTGTCCCGGTTTCTTGACATAATCTTACAAATGCGCAGGCGCAAAAATGAACTTAAATCAATTTCATAAACCAGGAAAAATACAAACCGTGAGCTCCTTTAGCATAAGAAGCTAAGGAGCTACGAGATCTCCCACAATCCACTGCACACATCAAACCAACAGATTCTTCATTCAAATCTTCTGCATAAATAAACTCAACTTTACAACATATAAACCAGAACCACTGTAGAGCCACACCAGACCGTTTGATCAGATCATTCAGCTCTGATCACATTTGTTTACGTTTTACAGAAACGAAACTTAAGACTGTTTGACTAATTAGAATAAACTGTTAGCGGTGATAAAAACAGCTGCTCCTTGTGCCGCTTCTTTTGGACTAAATGACACGACTATGGATTATGTGTGTTATTTTTGTGACAGAAGAGGTGCTGATGATGGTGAGTCTGTTCTGTGTGTGTTGTATAGGAGATAGTTCATGTTTTAGTTTTCAGCGTCACACGAGTGCAGATTGTACGTGTGCAGGTTTAGCGCAGCTCTTAATTTTACAGTCATTTCACTCGTTTGGTCACTTTATTTATGTTGGTCACTTCATTTATGTCGCTACTGTTGTGGTGAAAAGACTGGAAAGTGTCTTTTGGACACATGTGCACACAACTTTATGTTGCAGTAACCGGGATACTGCGTTTACATGCCACAGTATCCAGGTTACGATTGGAATAAACCAGCTACAGTAACTTGGTTTCTAATAACCAGGATACTGCCATAACCGGGTTACTGAAACCAGGTTACTGCGTTTACATGCACCATCAAGAAACCGGGATACTCAAAAAACCCGATCATAACCGGGTTACTGATGTGCATGTGTACGTACTCAGTTTCACACAGAAAAACAGTCAAGATGAAGACCGAGGAAGAGGAAGAGTTCAGAGAGAAAATGTGCAGATGAAGAGTGAAAGTGGTGAGAGTGTGGAGTGTAGTTCTGTGAAGATTCATGTGGTTCAGACATAAACATATAAAACTGTACAGGAAACACTGAAACTGTCCAACTGTGATTTTAAACTGAACTGCTCCCAGTGTGTCAGATGCCCTCCCTCATGTGTGTGTGTGTGTGTGTGTGTGTTGTGTGTACAGGTGTGGAGGTGGTGGGCTTTGCCATGTACTACTTCACCTATGACCCATGGGTCGGGAAGCAGCTGTACCTGGAAGACTTCTTCATCACCCAACAGTACAGAGGTAATCTACTACTACTACTACTACTACTACTACTACTACTACTACTACTACTACTACTACTACTACTACTACTACTACTGTAGTTCAGGGGTGGACAAACTTTTGGCTCGGCACACCACAGGCGAGCAGGAGCCGAGCGTGTGTAGGTCTCATTGAGAAACAGCCCACACCATGAGGTCATGCTCACCAACATGTGCACGATGTAAAACCAGACACTTCCACGTTTCATGTGTTAAGATTTTTAACACAACATCCATGAGTCTTTTGTGTTTGCATGAAATCCACTCAAACTGGAAACAGTGCAGTGTTATGTCTTGAACACATCTACCTCACTCATGGTCCCAATACGCCGCCCGAATGGTCTGTAAGAACACTTTCCCATAAAACATTGCGGCCAACATAATACGCCGCACCTCAGTGTGTAAGTAGTGCGCCATCTACTGGGAAACGCCGGAACTGCAGGAAAAATAAAACATCAACAAGGTTTATTATTGTAATTTATTCAAGTTCGGTGGGCCAGATTAGAAGGTTTAAAGGGCCGCATACAGTCCCCGGGCCGTAGTTTGCCCACCCCTGCTGTAGCTACTATTACTACTACAACTACTACTATTACTACTACTATTGCTACTATACTACTACTACTACTGTATACTACTACTACTACTACTACTACTACTACTGTTACTACTACTACTACTGTATACTACTACTACTACTACTACTACTACTGTATACTACTACTACTACTGTATTTACTACTACTACTACTACTACTACTGTACTACTACTACTACTACTACTACTACTACTGTACTACTACTACTACTACTACTACTACTACTACTACTACTACTACTACTTACTACTACTACTACTATTACTACTACTACTACTACTACTACTACTACTACTTACTACTACTACTACTACTACTGTACTACTACTACTGTATTTACTACTTACTACTACTACTACTACTACTACTACTGTACATTCTACTGTTCCTTCTGCTGCTGCTGTGTGTTTATGTGTTTGTGTTTGTGTTTCAGGTCTGGGGATCGGCTCTCACATCATGAGGCATCTCAGTGACGTAAGACACAACACACACACACACACACACACACACACACACACACACACACACACACACACACACACACACACACACACACACACACACAACACACACACACACACACACACACACACACACACACACATAACACACACACACACACACATACACACACACACACACACACACACACACACACACACACACACACACACACACACACACACACACACACACACACACACACACACACACACACACACACACACACACACACAACACACACACACACACACACACACACACACACACACACACACACACACACACACACACACACACACACACACACACACACACACACACACACACACACACAACACAAGGGCCTGAAGAACTCTGAGAAACTCACTGTTTTTAAATAAATCTCCAAACTTCTGCTCCTCAGATGTTTCTCCTTCTGTTTTTCGGTTTTGGGTTCAGCTCCACAAACTCGTGCTTTTAATCTGATGGTTTAAAATCCTTTCAGCTGAAACTCTCTCGACTGTGGGGTTTGAATAACGACTCCACTTTCTGAAGCTTTAGTTTATTCCTCGTGACGGAGAAGAGGCCGAACTTTGTGTCAGTTTTTGTTTCATGTGGAGAGTTCCAGAGTTCACACGTCTGACCCGACACTTACAGACTCACCTTCAGGCTTTTACTGTGAAACGTGGAGGCGGCAGACTCTGAGCTTCGTTTTTTTGTTTCGTAGTGTGTCTGAGTTTCTTTTCTTTCTTTTTTTTTCCCCGTAGCTGGCGATGAAGACGCGCTGCAGTGGGATGATGTTCGTGGTGGCCGAGAACAACGAGGCTTCGATTCAGTTTTACAAACGAAGAGGAGCCGAGGATCTGTCCCAAGAGGAAGGATGGAGACTGTATCGCTTCGACAAGGAGAGCCTCGTCAAGATGGCCTCTGCCCGAGAAGAGTGAGGGATGAGGAGAGAGGAGGAGAGGAGAGAGGAGAGAAGAGATGTGACTGAAGACAGGGAGGAGGAGGAAGGAGGGGAAATGCACCACTTCAACAAGGAGAGATGGAGGAGTGAGGGAAGGAGACGATGAAAGAGGAGAGAGCGGGGTGGGTGAAAGAGAGAGGGAGGAGAGGACAGAGGGAGGAGAGGAGGACAGAGGGAGGAAGAGAGGATGGGGGATGGGGACAGAGTTCAGGAAAAAGGGAAAAGTGTTTTATTTGTAGTCATAGTTTTAGATGTATTTTTACTAAACTTTGTGAGTGTTTCTCTGTGGGACTCAAAGCGACTGAGGAGTTAGGAGTTAGGAGTTAGGAGTGAGGAGTTAGGAGTGAGGAGTTAGGAGTGAGGAGTTAGGAGTGAGGAGTTAGGAGTGAGGAGTTAGGAGTGAGGAGCGAGTAAAGGGGAGTGTCTCAGGGTGCAGCAGGTGCCCTCTAACCCCGAGCTCAGCGGTTCTGTGTTCATCGATGTTCATAAACCTGATGTATCTGATATAAAACCATCTTAATAAAACTGTTTAATCGACTCTGACGTCGTCTGTTCTTCTCTGTCTGAACTTTGACTAAATCACAAACTCTCCTCATGACTTTGGGATGTAACAATAAACTAACGAGAAACTGTTCTCATTTCACCACTGCACTATTTTAGACAAGTACAACCTGCTTCATTTGAATCATTGTGTTGATTTTAAATATGGATGTTTTATATAAAGTGTAGTTTGGACTTGTCGTTCTCTGGTACAGGATTTTATTAAAGTAAAATCTGTCAGTGGATGTAGGTCAGGGCTGCTCAATACGTCGATCGTGATCTACTAGTTGATCGCCAAGGTCGTGTGGGTAGATCGCCGTGTTCAGTGCAGTTTTTTTGGCTTTGTATTAGGTCGATCTTTATGACTTGGTCATTCTGTACGTAGCTCACATGATGAAAAAGTGAGCTCCACACAGACGCTCCACATCTGGACAAAGTGTGTCTCAGTCAGAGGCTCTGAGTTCTGGAACGTTCTCTCATGATCAATAAGAGAAACTCCAACACTGGACACTTTCACATCCCACCTGAAACTGCGGCTAAAGGAAAAACAGACCTGGGACACTTTCAGTTTAGAACCGTCACTTGTTTTTTTCTGTTAAATTTGTGGTGCATCGGTCACATTTACACTGCAGTGATGTAGATGTTCATTAAAATGCACTGTCCCTATCAAATAAATAAAATAAATAACTGAAATATCGTGTTACTGTATCGTCAAAGTTCTCACAATAACATCATGGACCATCACAATATATCACAATATAAGTCTCTTTGTTTAAATGCAGAGTACAGGTAAAAACACAGAGGAACTACATAGACCATGATCCTTTGCTCCATTTCAGTGCAGACGACAAGAAGAAATAACAGTTCAACACTTTTAACTCTTAGTTCTTTGGATTAAATCTTGTCAAGACATTTCAAGAGGAAAAAGAAGAATATTCACAGTTTTAGTTGTTTATCCTCCACAAAATATCGAACTGTGAGATGTTTATCGTGAAAATATCGTACCGAGAGATTTGGAGATTGTTACATCCCTAATCTTGAGCTTTCCCACGATATCGCAATAAATATCGTTCCGTGAGGTTCATACCGTGACGATATCGTATCGTGAGACTTGGATATCGTTACACCTTTACTAACGATGCTAACTGGAGGCACTGCTCTGTCAATTTTTACTGTGACACGTGTCAAATCAAACTCCCGAACACAACTTGGAACTCTCGCTCCGACCGCAGGGAAATGAAAACCTGCTCTTTAAGTCTCTTCTTCTTCCTGCTGACGTGTGTGTGTGTTTGTGTCGCCACGGTAACTGCTAAACGTTCTGCCATAGACACGCATGCGGAACACCCCCCGAGGACAGAAGGACGGACGGAAGAACAGACGGACGGACGAACGGCGGCTCTCGGGGGCACGCGGGTTTAGACTTTGTCCCTGAATGAGAGATAAATGAGAAAAAGAAAAGAGAAAAGAGCAGCACAGGAAAGAAAGAGGAGAGAAGAGTGAGGGATAAGGAGTGTGGGAGGGCATCTGGTGTTTTCTTCACGTCTGTTGGTCTGAGTCAAAGTTTATTTAATGAACAAAACAGAAAAATAAAAGTTCAGAAGATGAAAACTACAAATACTACTACTACAACTACTTCTACTACTGCAACAAATACTACAACTACAAATACTATTACTACTACTACTATAAATACTACTACTGCTGCTACTCCAAGTTTAGTTCCTAGTCCTGGTTTAATCCTGGTTTAGTTCTGATTCAGTCCTAAAAGTGTCGTCCTCCTTTAGTTCTGCCTCACACTCGTCATAGTCCTGTTTTAGTCCTGTTTTAGTCCTGGTTTAGTCCTGTTTTTTATTTTATTTATTTACACGTTGAATCAAAGACAGAGCCTTGTGTTTCGTTATTTTCACTTTAATTAAAATAAAACGTCGTATTTACAGGTTTTTATATCATTGACTCTTTCACAGTAAAACAAACAGAAATGTTTGAACCCTTCAAAATAAAAGTGCAAAAATCTTTAAGACATTTAAGACAAAAAATATATAAATAAAAAAACAAAAAGCACCAACCACAACATTAAAACCAGGACTAAACCAGGTCTAAACCAGGTCTAAACCAGATCTAAACCAGGTCTAAACCAGGACTAAACCAGGTCTAAACCAGGTCTAAACCAGGTCTAAAACCAGGACTAAACCAGGACTAAACCAGGACTAAACCAGGTCTAAACCAGATCTAAACCAGGTCTAAACCAGGACTAAACCAGGTCTAAACCAGGTCTAAACCAGGACTAAACCAGATCTAAACCAGGTCTAAACCAGGACTAAACCAGATCTAAACCAGGTCTAAACCAGGACTAAACCAGATCTAAACCAGGTCTAAACCAGGACTAAACCAGATCTAATCCAGGTCATAATGTTGTGGTTGTTTGTGTCTTGTGGTTTATATTTTGCTTTGTTGTTCGTTTTTGTTTTGGAGCGAAGCTGAAACTCTGGAAAAGTGAAACTGACTGAATCAGACCCGAGTCAGACCCGAGTCTAGTCTGACCCGAGTCTGACCCGAGTCTGACCCGAGTCTGACCCGAGTCTGATGTGTGTACGATGTGTTCAGGGACAAACTGTAACAAAACAAAAAAACAAACTGTATGTTTAAAATGTTTGAGTTTCAGCTGGACGTGCTGTTCCCCCTGGAGTCTCCATCTGCATCTGCAGACTGAAACAAACAAACTATTATTACCTCATCATCCTCTGACCCTCTGACCCTCCCTGACCCTCCTCTGACCCTCTGACCCTCCTCTGACCCTCCTCCTCTGACTCCTCCTCCTCCTTGACCCCCTCCTCCTCTGACCCTCCTCTGACCCTCCTCTGACCCCCTCCTCCTCTGACCCCTCTGCTCCTCCTCTGACCCTCTTCTGACCCTCCTCTCCTCCTCTGACCCTCTGCTCCTCCTCTGACCCCTCCTCCTCTGGACCCCCTCCTCCTCTGACCCTCTGCTCCCTCTGACCCCCTCCTCCTCTGACCTCTGCTCCTCCTCTGACCCCCTCCTCCTCTGACCCTCCTCTGACCCTCTGCTCCTCCTCTGACCCTCCTCTCCTTCACTGACCCTCTCCTCCTCCTCTGACCCTCTCCTCCTCTGACCCCTCCTCTGACCCTCTGCTCCTCCTCTGACCCTCTTCTGACCCTCTCCTCCTCTCCTCCTCCTCTGCTCCTCTGACCCTCTCCTCCTCTGACCCTCTGCTCCTCTTCTGACCCTCTTCTGACCCTCTCCTCCTCTCCTCTCCTCCTCCTCTGCTCCTCTGACCCTCCTCTGACCCTCTCCTCCTCTGCTCCTCCTCTGACCCTCTGCTCCTCTGACCCTCCTCTGACCCTCTCCTCCTCTCCTCTCCTCCTCCTCTGCTCCTCTGACCCTCTCCTCCTCTGCTCCTCCTCTGACCCTCTGCTCCTCTGACCCTCTCCTCCTCTGACCCTCTCCTCCTCTGCTCCTCCTCTGACCCTCTCCTCCTCTGCTCCCTCCTCTGACCCTCTCCTCCTCTCTGCTCCTCCTCTGACCCTCTTCCTCTGACCCTCTCCTCTGCTCCTCTGACCCTCTCCTCCTCTGCTCCTCCTCTGACCCTCTGCTCCTCTGACCCTCCTCCTCTGACCCTCCTCTCCTCCTCTGACCCTCCCTCTCCTCTGACCCTCTCGGACCCTCTCCTCCTCTCCTCTCCTCCTCCTCTGACCCTCTGCTCCTCTGACCCTCTTCTGACCCTCTCCTCCTCTCCTCTCCTCCTCCTCTCCTCCTCTGACCCTCTGCTCCTCTGACCCTCTGCTCCTCCTCTGACCCTCTCCTCCTCTGACCCTCTCCTCCTCTGACCCTCTCCTCCTCTCCTCCTCCTCTGACCCTCTCCTCCTCTGACCCTCTTCTGACCCTCTCCTCCTCTATAATCTTTACAGTATCGAGTTGTTGTTTTTTTTCTGTCTGAGCTGAAAATTCCTTTTGTTTGTTAAACTTCTGACACTTTAACTCCACTTTGTTTAAAACGTTTGTGTGTAAACTCTTTGTCTTAAAACGTTTTGTGTGTAAACTCTTTGTCTTAAAACGTTTTGTGTGTAAACTCTTTGTCTTAAAACATTTTGTGTGTAAACTCTTTGTCTTAAAACGTTTTGTGTGT